CCCCGCCCCGCCATCCGCATGGCTGCTCGGCTGCATCCCCGCCGGGACAGCCACCCCCTCTCTGGAGGAGGGAAGGTCCCTGGGTGCGCCCAGACCCCCTCTGTCCCTGGGCATGGTGCCAGCAGGACAAGGCAGCATCCCAGGCTAAATCCCGTGCTGGGGCTCCCGCCCTTGCCAGGAGTGGGGGTACTGCAGCTGCCGTGCTCCCCAGGGGCAGCCACCCATGCTCGGCTTCACCGGTGCTTTTCTTCGACATCTCCAACCTCCCTGCACCCCAGAGGGCAAGCGGCAGCCCAGCCAGCCCCCGTCACAGCGCCTGGCATCCCTACCATCTCCTTGCAGAGCAGGGAGTGGAGATGGAGAGCCGCTGCTTCGGCTGCCCCCCACCTACACGACATGGCACAGCCTGCCTGGTAGCGGTCTCGCTGTGTGGTCCTCTTTGCCTGCTTCATGCTGAGGCCTGGCACAAAAGCCAGTGCTATCTGAGGAAATCCCTGTCCCTGATGAAATTTTGGCCACCCAGAAGAGAAATCCCAGTGAAAACTCCCCAGCCACAGTGCCAGGCAGTGGGGAAGTGGCTGCCAGCACCTGGTCATCCCCAGCCCATATCCTGCTGCTCTCATCTTGCATCCCACACCCTTCATCCCGCATCCTGCAGCCTTCAATCTGCAACCTGAAATCTGCACTCTGCATCCATCAACCTTCGTCCCGCGTCCTTCATCCCACATCCTTCCTCCTGCAGCCTGCATCCCACAGCCTGCACCCTGCAGCCTTCATTCTGCATCTTGCATCCTTCAACCTTTATCCTGCATCTTGCAGCCTGCATCCTGTATCCTGCTTCCCAGACCTTACACCCCATAACGACAGCCTGCATCCCACAGCCTTCACCCTGCTTCCCCCACTTGGCCTGTGGACCATAGCTATGGAACGGTTTATTTCGGCCCCCTTACAGTAGCAGTCATGGAAGACCTGTCAGGCTCAGCTCACACGACCCAGCAAGCCCCAGCCATGTGTATCCTGATATACATGTGGGATGACCCAGGTGTCCTTCCCTCTGGTGGGTACATCCATCTCCCTGTGGGACACCATGAGGGTCAGGCCATGGGTTTGTGCACGGCCTCATGGCAGCTAGAGTTTGGGTGCTCTTTGCCCTGCTGGAATGGAGGAAGAGAGGAGGAGGGGATGGATGGGCCATGGCTGCGTGGTGCACACAGGCTGGAGACTCCTTGCCCTTTGCCCACTCCTTTTCCCCCGATCTTGCCTCCCTTTCCTGGGGCCACGGGGCTGGGGAACCATGCTGGGGGGCTGTGGGGGACCAGGGCAGCGGGATGGACCCCATGCCCCAGTGTGCACCACAGGCTGCCCTGTCCCAGAGGCCTGAGGAGGGCCAGTGCTAGCCCTGCTGGCAGCAATGCTGGAGGCTTCGCATCCCTGAGCCCATGAGTCAGTTCCCGTGAGTCAAGGAGGCTGAGCCTGGTGGCAGCCGTGCTTTCTCCAGCTCTGCTGTGCCAAAAGAGAAAGCCACTTTCTCCAGCTGTCCCTGGCCTTTCTCTGCTCTGCTCTGTGCCAGCACCCAGGGCTATCTGTACCAGCACCATAGCTGGCTGTGCTTTCCAGAGGACCCGTCTTACTCACCCCGCCTGCAGCATTCATATAGCCGCAAGGAGCCATCAGCAAAGACTCCTCCATGCCTCTGCTGGGAAAAGCCCCTGGGTTAAAACTAAAAGGCACTGCCCGGCTGGGATGGGTACCCAGCTGGTGCCTGCCTGTGTGCCCTGTCCCAGCCCCAGGGCATCCCGTGCCCTGGCTTTCCAGGCACCCCCTCCCTCACTGTCTTCTCTCTCCCACAGCGACGTGACATTTGTGGTGGGCCAGGAGCAGCAGAAGGTGTTTGCGCACCGCTGCGTTCTGGCGTGCCGCTGCCAGGCTTTCCAGGGGATGCTTGGCCAGGGGCCAGCAGGCAGCGAGGACTCTCCTAGCAGCATCCCACCCCAGGGCCCCTTCATCCTGGGCAATGTGCAGCCCGAGGTCTTCCTGGCCGTCATCGAGTTCCTCTACACCAACAGCGTCACCCTCAACAGCCACATTGTAAGTGGGGCTGGGGCTGGCAGGGACCATGGGCATGGGAGGGACAAGGGGGGGATGGAGAGTTAGGGGGTGCTCTGCAGCTCCTGGGGTGCCGAAGGTGGAGGGGATGCTCTGCATGATGCTTTCTGGCTGGCTAACAGTGCAATGAGTGTGTGGGGTCTCAGCCCAGCACAGTGTCCAGAGCACCCTGTTCCACACGTGTCTGCCCCAGCTGGCTGTGCAGACCTTGGATGCTGGGAATGGGGACATTACAGCAGGACACCTTCATGTGTCCCCATGTGGCAGCCCCTTCCCCCCTCATGCCCTACCTGGGAGCTCCCACGGAGGCAGGAGGATACACGCCCTTGGCCCCTGGGCTGCCATGCCCATCTGTGGCCCTGCCTGTCGATGCTCACAAGGGCTGTCTTGCCTGCAGGCGCTGGAGGTGCTGACCTCATCGGTGGAGTATGGCCTGCAGGACCTGTGCAAGGTACGGCCCTGCTTAGACTGGGGGTGGTGGTCCCCAAGTGCCCCTGTGCTGAGGAGCACCCCAAGATGGTCCCTGTGTGGCTGGTGGCTGGAGGTGGCTCTGAGGATGGCACCGTGGTGCATCACTCAGGTCCAATGCAGGCTCAGCCCCTGCTTCTTGATCCCAGAGGGTATCTCTGGTGGGATCCCCCTTGAGGGGGTGCAGCACCAGCTGGGAGCCGCGCAGGGGCTGGGGAATCCCAGGGAAGAGCATGGGGCCTCACGTCTCCCACATGGCAAAGGGCAGCAGGAAAGCCCCTATGCCGTTGCCCACGGGTGCTCTCTGGTCATCTGGCAGGATGATGCCGTAGGGAAAGCCCCAGTCCTGGGGAGCGCTCAGCACCCCAGCCAAGGTGCTGCCAAGGGGGTGCTGCTTCAGGCAGGAAGGTCTTGGGAAGGCACCAAAAAGGAGGGGTAGGAGCCAGACAAGGAGGGGACAGGGAGCTGGAGCAGCCTGGTGTTGGGGGGGGCGGCCGGGCCACGTCATCGGAGTGATTCCTGAATTACGGCCAGGCTGATCGCGTGACCTGCCATCTCATGCCCGGACTTCCCCTCCCTTCCCACCGCGCTGAGGAAGGACCTCACTGAGGAGCTGAGGAACCGCGGGCTGCTGTGTGCTGGGGCGGTGGGACGGGACCTGCCCTATCACCCCATGGGGACAAGCTTAGCCCAACCCCAGATGTGACACGAGGCTGTGAAACAGCTGGCTGGGCAGCGAAGGGACATAAGAGGTGTTGCAAAAAAGGGTGACACAGTGTCCCAGCCACACAAGTCCACCCCCACCATCCAGCAAACGCATCCACGGGAGGATGACCTGCAGCGGGCAGAGGCGTAGAGGAGGGGTGGAGGGGAAGGGGCTGACCAAGGACAGCTGGGGAAGCCCGTGGCGGTGTCCCCAGCTGCCGGGTGACCTCATGTCTCTCCTGCCAATGACTCAGGGCCCTTCTCCTCCAGCTGACAGCTCCTCCCTGCATGTCACATCCTCTTGGGTTTCCCAGGGGTTCTGACCCCTTTTCGTGAGAGGCAGCTGAGACGGGCAGGAGAGAGGTCCTGCTCTCCAGTAGAGGTACCCGTCTGGCTGCATCCCGCTTGCATCGCCCGCGTGTGGGCAGTCACAGGCAGAGACCAGCTGGCAGGCAGGGCTGGGCAAAGCTGGGGTCACCCAGTGCACTGCAGCTGGCACCAGGGCCGTTCCCCATGGCAGAACATGGCTGATGACTGTGGCCAGGGTTAGGTGACCCACCAGGGGCTGGGGTTTGGTCACATCAAGCTCGGTCCCTGGCTGAATCAGTGCCCGGGCTGGCTGCCCACAGGCCATGCTGAGAGTCCGTCACTGCCTTATGAAACCCTGGGGGGCTGGAGGTGCCTCCACCCCATGTCCCTTGTCCCATATCCCATGTCCTGGGGGCTCAGGGGATGCTGAGAGTTGCAGGAGGGGATGGCAGGTCTGAGTCCCCCCTCTGCCCATCCTCTCCCTGTCTGTCTTCCAGCTCTGCGTCAAGTTCATCAAAGACACACTGAGCGTGGAGCAGGTCTGCGAGGCCCTGCAGGTAAGTCTGACCCCAGTGGGGTCACAGAGGCTTAAAAATAACCCATCCGATTTTGGGGCAGGAGCTGGCCTGACCCTCCTGCTCAGTGGGGCAGGATTTCCTACCCACCCGTGGCCCAGCAGGTGCCCTGCCAACTCCTGGGCACATTGTACCAGGGCTGCAAAGGACCCTAGGGCCACCACAGCCTGGCAGGGAAATGTCCTCACGCTGCCCTGAGCAGGGCTGGCCAGAACTCCCCAGTGCCAGGACCTTGCCATCATCTGTCTGAAACAGGGAGGCACTGGGTTTCTGGGAGCTCTCATGGTTTTGAGTCCAGTCCCAAAAACCCTGCTGAGGGTTGGGACACCTAAAAATAGCCTTGGGGGTGTCCCAATGGCTCTGCCATGCTGCTTGGTGGGACCAAGGCTGCTCCACAGAGAAGGGGGATTTGTTCCATCTCAGGCCGAAGCGATGCTCTCGAGGCGAGATGCTGGCCCCAGAGCACAGAAGCTCCCGCCAGACGTGGTGCCAGACCACCGTGGCGTAAACAGAGCTAAAACTGGCCCAGAGGAAACAAACAGAAAACCCCAAAACCCCAGAACAAAACAAACCTGAAGAAAACATCTCGCCTTCCCTCCCTGCTTGCGTCAACACCGGTCCCCTGCCGTGACGGAGGGGGAGGGGACGCTGGCCCTGCCTGTGCTGGTCCCGAGTAACCCCCACGCAGGGGCTGCCACCACGGGGGGACAGGGACGTGTCCTCCTGGTGCCTAGATGGGCAGTGTGAGCCCTTGGACGAGCATTGCTGGGTAGAGTTGAGGGAGGATGAGACCACCCTAAATTCCTGCTGCAATGGGGTTGGCAGCCATGGGGCTGTCATCAGGGCATGGGGCACATGTGGGGGGGGCCCTAAGCAGACCCTGTGCCCACACAAGGAGACCTGGGGATGGGTGGCCCCATGTGCCTGTAGTGTGGCCTTGTGAGAGCAATGCCGGGGCCCCTCATCCACCCAGGGCTGGGTGATGCCCCTGAGCAGCAGCGGAAAATTGGGTGTTTCCTGCTGACGGTGGGGCTGGGTGAACGTTGTGGGTGGTAAAGCCACCAAACCCTTTGCCGTGGGGCAGGCCAGGAAAGAAGGGGACCTTGGTGCCCCTTCCCCACCATACCCGCACCGTGGCACCCACGCGTGGGGATGCTCACCTCACCTGGATCCCTGAGAGTGCCCATGTCCCTGTAAGGCTTTGGCAGGGGAGGTCCCTCCTGCCACGGACCCTTTTGCAGGTGTCTGTGTTGTCCCACAGGCTGCGGTGACCTATGGGCAGGCAGATCTCCAGCAGCACTGCCTGGCCTTCATTGAGGGCTGCACCGCGGTACGGCTGCGGGCAATGGGGGAGCATGGCACTGGGTACCCCAGGGCATGGGGAGCACCGGGGGCACGTGGCATGGGGAACACTGGGGGACACAGCATGAGGCAGGGGAGCAGGGCCCCTAAGAATGGGGTGGCTGGAGGCTGGGCAGGGGAGGAAAGGGAGCAAATGGTGTTTGGGGAGAAGATGCTGGGTGCCAAGTAGAGGCTGGCAGGGGGGTACTGGGGTGCCAGCTGATGGGGTATGGGTGGGGGGATGCTGGGGTACCAGGCAGGGATGGTGCCAGGATGGGTCTGATGGCCCATAGGGGTGGGGTGGGGCTGGTGTGGGGTCCTGGTACCAGAGTCCTGGTGCTGCGGTGTGCTGGCAGGCGGTGGTGCGGACACAGGGCTTCCACGAGCTCTCTGATGTGGTGCTGGCACGGGTGCTGCGCAGCGACCGCCTGGCCGTGGACGAGCTGGACCTGGTGCAGGCTGTGCGGGAGTGGGCGCACGTCAGCTCGGTAAGTGCAACACAGCGGTGACAGGGTGGGGGGGTGGTCCTGGCTGGGCCCCAGACAGAACCACCCAGGGGTGCCTGGACCCCCACCAGCCCAGGCAGGGAACCCAGGCGCCCTGTCCCTGAGCCCAGGGCTGTGTGATGGGCACAGAGGCTGTTTCACCCCCCTCCAAACACCCCCCGGTGCCCAGGACGTCAGCAGCCCCATCCTTCATATCTCGCTGGCTGGCAGGCTGTCCTGGAGCGCCCGGTGCCCGAGGTGGCTGCCCTGCCCGTGCGGGAGCTGCGCCTGCCCTTGCTGGCACCCAGCGAGCTGGTGATGCTGGAGAGCCACAACCAGCGGGATCTGCTCATCCCGGTGAGCTGCTGCCTCTTCTTGGGGTGCCCTGGCTGACCTCTGGGGCTGGAGGATGCTGCAGGGCCGGGTTTGGGGGGACACACCACGCTGTGGCCATGTTGATGCCCCCATCCCTCTCCCCAACCCCATAGGCGGAGAGCATCGCGGCAGCCTGGCGGTCCCACGCGCTGAGGAAGGGCAGCGGGGTGCCCTCCCGCCTCTGCCGGCCCCGGCGTGGCACGAGGCCCCGCGACCACCACCGTCACCTGGACCCACATGCCAAGTAGGGGCCAAGAGCCGAGGTGTCTCCCCCCCAGCTCAACCCAGGGGCTCGGGCAGCGGCAGTGCCCCCTGGTCAGATGCTCCGCAGTGGGGCAGCCTGTGGGGCTGGGCACTGCCGGAGGTGCTGCCGTGGCCAAGAGCATCAATCAAACGCTTTGCCCCACGCCACGGCTTCGGGGTCAGGGCAGGATGCCCAGGTCACCCCAAGAAACGGTGCAGGGACTACGGGGGGGGGTCGGAGCTGGTCCATGGGGTGGCTGCGAGGACATCCAGGCGCTGCGGTGGCCGCACGCAGCCCGGGCAGTGACCCCGGGGGTGGCGGGGCTGCAGGGGTCCCTTGCGGGATGGGGGACACAGGATGAGTTGCCCCTTTCCCAGCCCCACTGCTGCCCCCCCCCGCCCCAAGCCGGCCCTGTGCTGGGGCCCTTCCCCAGGGCCGTGCTGCCCTCCCCCGGCAGCGGGGCTGTGCTGCAGCGGGCAGCGAGCACTGGCACCGGCCTGGGGAGGGGCACAACGCCCCCCCCCCCCCCCCCC